TCCATTTCAGGGGAGGCTCCTGCCTTCCTTAGCAGACTCCTGGCTTTCCAAACCAAGACACAGTGTCTGGGGGAAAAAAAAACCCACCATAAACCACAGCCTTTTGCTCCTCCTGGCTCCCCAAAATCTGCTGCGAGCCCCAGCAGGGCTGAGGCGGTTCCTGCCAATCTCAGTGGCAGTCTGGGTGTTACAGTAAGAGCACGAAGCCGTGGTAGAGATCAAAGGTGGTGGTTTCTGGTTTTGTTATCCCACAGAAGTTGGGTTTCCTTGCTGGGTATCCTCCCCCTGAGAGCGCTGCCAGCTCAGCAGCCCCAGTCCTGAGAGCCTAAATCACCTCCCAGCCTCTCTGCCCCAGGGCTGAGCTTCCACCAGCCCAAATTCTGCATCCCCACTGCTGCCTCGGGGAACTACTCCCTCTGCTTTTGCTTTTTCTCTCTTTAGAACCTTTCCTCAAAGCCTTGAGCACCCGGTGCTGTGCTTGCTGCCAGGGAAAATAATTCACTTTCTTCATCATCTGCTGTTGGCCAACGTGAGGAGGGCAAATCCCAGCTGAACACCAGGGTGGAAGTGTGAACACAGCAGGACAGACAGACAGACTGAGGAACCAAACCTCACTGGCCTCTTTCTTGGGACAGGAAAAAATTTATCTCTTGCCACAAGGAAGATGAGCACCTCCTCCATGAGCCTTCAGCCTCCCACAAAGCCCGGGGACAAGCCTTGAGGTGATGTGAGGGACCTTAAACACAAAAAGGGGCAAAATTAAAACAAACTCTGCTGTAACTCCATCTGAATTGCAGAAGCTTTCAGAACTTTCCTCATTTTGTTGTGGTTGTAGTTTTAACATTTGTTATTTAACTTGAACTGGTTGCACCGCTCAGGCCCACGCAGCTCCTGCCTCTCTGTGCCCTAGATTTTGGCAGCACGTGACTGAAATTGGGGTTTTTGCCATGAAAGAGGCCAAGGGGAGCAACAAAACCAGGGCTGAGAACCCCAGCTGGGCATGTAGGTCATGGAGGGCACGGCCCTGGCTTTGCAGAGCTGCCAATTCCTTCCCTCAGGCGGAGAGAGGCTGAGTAATCACCAGAGCTGGGTGCTAAAAACAGGACCACACTCCTGGTACTAAAGTGATTTCAGCATTTATTATAATAAAAAGGCCCAAAACAATGGGCACTAAAGTGATTTCAGCAATTATTCTTGTCACAGACACATTTTATGAAAAATCCTTTCATTAGGATTTTTTCTTTCTGAGAAGCTGAGAGGCCTCAGGAACAAAATGCAAACAATGGTTATCTGCTGCTGTGGAATGCAACAGGTGCATCTGGGATTGACCATTGTTAGATGTTTCTAATTAATGGCCAATCACAGTCAGCTGGCTCAGACTCTCTGTCTGAGACACAAACCTTTGTTATCATTATTTCTTTTTCTATTCTTAGCTACCCTTCTGATGAAATCCTTTCTTCTATTCTTTTAGTATAGTTTTAATGTAATATATATCATAAAATAATAAATCAAGCCTTCTGAAACATGGAGTCAACGTTCTCGTCTCTTCGCTCATCCTGAGACCCCTGTGAACACGGTCACAAGGAAAGGGATTCAATCCTGCCACACCAACCTGGCAGAAGCTTTGTCCCATCCCTGCTGCTGCCAGAGCCTGTTCAGAGCAGGAAAAGAGCAGGTGAATGGTGGTTTTGGGGCAAGGAAAGCCACACAATCCTCCAGGTGGCTCGTAGGCAGAGCAGGGGCTGTGTGGGGCTGGTGGGAGTGGTGGGGACCTACCCTGGAGGTTCTCAGCAGGTCCTGAGCAGGTTCCCAGAAGGTTCCCAGCAAAGTGCCAGGTTCTCAGCAAGGTGTAGGTCCTCTGCAGGTCCTCATCAGGTTCTCTGCAGGTTCTCACCAG